GGCTGTTTCTTCGTGCTTCGCATGTGCGACTCCACTGCCTTAATTCCCATCGTTCTGAGCTTGAATCGATTCTTGGACTAAATCCACTGAGCCTCATGTATGTTCCCTGGTTTTAGCCATGGAGAAAACTCTTGGCTGGAGACAATTTTGGTTACATTTACACTTGCTCATATTTTCCAGAGAAAAAGTTAATGGCGCATCTCCCAAATGTCCCGGCCGCAACAACGCTTTTATTGGTTCCTCTATCGGGACAGAACCAGTAATGGAGAGCCCTTATTTTTTTTTTTTTTTTAAATAAATTGTCAATTTTAACGTTTTATTTAGATTACAAAAAAAAATCGTAATAAAAATAATCCTATTTATGATGTTTTAAAAATTAAGACCTACGAAAGACTGATTTAAGACATTTTAATACCAATTAAGGCCTTAGTTTTATTTTGAAGAATTCAATGCCTTTTAAGACTTTTTAAGGACCCGCGGGAACCCTGTATAACTAACTGGCCTGCATAAGATAATAAAAAAAAAAGCACAGAGTTTAAGAAAGAATTTTTTTTAAATAGAAATTTTCTCATTTTTGAGACAATATGTTCTGATAAAGAGTACATTTATATAAATGTTTAAGCCAGAACGATTTGACATTTAAATGCGATTTCCCTACGACTTCAAAGCCTGCTGGCTAAAGAAGGACTCATGCTTATTTCCTATTTCAGAAGATAACAGGACGTCATGGACTGCCTGAAAGCAGAACACCTAGTTACCTCTAAGACAAGCCGTCAATCAAAGCCATGCAAGCACACATCCCCGCCTGACTGTGACATGCATCCCCCCAGAACAACAGTGAACAAGGTGAAAACCGGCAGCGGACAAAAGAACGGATCTGACAGCTTGTTTCAACAGAAGCTGCAGAAACCCCTCTCCCACATCAGCTGCACCTGACACAGCAAGAGCTCCGCCCTCAGCTGGAATTCACCTAGAGCAGAGAGGTGAAAGCTTCACCCAGCCAGATGGGGATGAGCCAGACCAACTGGAGAGCAGGGTAAGGCCTCAAACTGCTAGCGGAGGCAAAGAGGGAATTTCCAAAGTTCTATTTAAACCCTGAAATCTATAATTAAGGGACACGAGCGGCTCTTTTGCATCTATTTTAATACGTCAACATGACCTTCCTCTGTTCCATTCCTCCATCTGTATGTATTTTAATTTGGCAGCTGATCTGATTTAGCCAGAGACTCACAGCCGGCTTGTGTTTTGCATTTGTATGCAATTCAAGTAGCACCAGCAAGACGGATGTGAACATCTCCCAGAGGCGGAGAGCATCTTTCACCTTTAAGTATTCCTTAATGAAGCTCGCCGCATTGACGCCGCTTTTCATGTTGAAACTGATGTCCACCTTCACCTCGGTCTCCTGGTCTGTCAACTTGATGATCGGCACCTGAAAGAGAGACTCGAACGTCAGGATAATCGGCCCAATCCGAGCGGCCTTTAGAAGTGAAGCCTTTACTCACCGTAGCCTTGTCCAGGACTTTAATGGAGAAGGGTTCTGCCACGTTATGTTTCCGAAGAGCCTGCTCTAACTCCTGCAGCGGGGGGCGCTCCCACTTCCCTAACACGACCAGGTCTATGTCGCTGTGGGAAGGAAGGAAAGGGCAACGTTAAATCTTAGCAATGCAGCTGGATTCCAACTGACAGCGTGTCTTCTCCAAAGCCTTACCTTGTGGGAAGGTAGAGCCCGGTGCTGAAGGAGCCAAATATCTGGACCTAATAAAATAACGATAGAGACCACACTGTTACTGCAGAACAGAGAAACTGGTGAAGATAATCCCAGCATGAGGATTACAGAGTTCGTTTTTAAGTTGTGATGAAACATCCAGCTCGAAGTCTGAACAGTTCAACAAACAAGGCATCTCTGGGTTCCACTTGGGAGAAGTTAAGCGCTGCCAGCTTGGGTTTGGAGCCAAATGAAGTACACAAAGGTTTGGGAACAAAAGGCTGGGCTTTGGGGTTCCAAGTAAAAGCTCTCAAAGGAAGCAGAATGAAGTTCTTTCCCTTTCCTCCTGTTAAACACGACAAGGCAGCGGCATAGGGACAGGCCAGGAATAACAGGCTGAAATGGAAAAAGGAAGCAGAAACAGATGCCAGACTCAAGCCCATTTATCTGACAATGCGGCTTCGCAGTGGAAGTGGGAAAAGCTGGCAGCCAATGAATCGCCGGCGCTCACACTTTACGCCGTTAAGTAATGATGTCAATCTCAGCGCGCTGAGCAACCCTTCCACTGCATCATATAAGCCCTAAACCATTAAGTGATGTATTAAAATTTAAATATATGTGAGAGCTGACAATATATTCAGTTATAAAAAAAAGCTTCTTTATTCTTATATTAATGTAGTTTAATCGTAGTTTTTTTTAATTAAACTTAATTTTTCGGTTATTTCTAAAGCAGTAATTTAAGAATAAGTTAAATAAATTCACCTTAAATAAAAGTAAATAATTAAAGTAATCGATTTTTGTCAATTTGAGCCAAAAAAAGTATTTTGAAAAATGTAAATATATTTCTTTGTTTTGGGATGTGGAAAAGCATATTGGTATGCAATACCGCTAGTCACCACAAGGTGTTTTCAAATATCTGGATAAATTCCTATTGAACAGACAAAAAAAAAAAGAAGGTTTTTAGCAATTTTCTCTTGATTTGATGTTTCTAAAAGCTCCACATTGGTTCTAGTTGTTTTGAGTAACAACCACAGGTAAAAGCTTTGATTAAAATCCTTCGTAGAGGTGAAAACTGTAATTCACATATGATCCCGAACTGAAAAAGGGATGCAAACAATCGACTTGCGATTAAATGTCTATTAATGGTTTATAATAAACATTATTCCATTTGATTAATTAAAAATATTTGCATATAAAAACTTCATTTTTAGAATTGTAATGTTACCCTGTCCACTAGGGGGTGCTGCTGTTCATTCTTAACCAGAGTTTTACTTGTATTTGCAAGAGAAGTAATGCCAGCGTGGAGGCATGTGTGAAACATGAAAAAATCCAGATTTGAGATTATTTCTTCTCTTTAATGGCTACAGAATCAACTTTATGCCATTCTGTTTGCATATGATAAACTCTTTCAGTTAATACCTTAATATCGCCACATGTTTAAAGGCGCTGCTAGCAGCCAAAGTCTCTCACAGCACTGAATGCTGGATTACGCGTCACAGTTAGCGTAAACTTCATTGAAACAAGGTGGTAAATAGTCTGACAGTTTGTTAGTGACACATGCCGTCTTTTAACGATAGTTATGCAAGTCTTTATATTGGAAATAATCAGTTTCTCTTATTATAATTAGCTATTTATTTAGTGACCTAAGGTTAGTAACCCTGCGTTATATCTTCTTAATACATCTAGTTTAATCATGTGTAGAAAAACTTTTTTATTCAGTCAGCATTTAATAAAGCTGGCACGAGAATTTTAAAAATATAATGATTTACTCATTTCTTTTTTTAAACTCATCATACTGGGAAAAAAAAGAAAGAAAAAAAAAGAAAAAAAGAAAAAAAAAAAAAAAATTATTAGGCCCTTATGTTAATGGTGAGATTCTATTTATACATGAGAAAACTATTTTTTAAAGGGTAACCCATTGAAGGCCAATATCAATTAACTTTATAACAATTAATTAATTGAAAACTTGCATTTCCAACCATCATACTTTAATTTGTTATTTTTTGCTAAAGAATATGCACTGAAAACAAATCTAGTTGCAGGATTTGCTGGTTAAAATCTCAATATTGGCTCTTTTACTCAACAGTGAAGGCAGCTTAACAGATTAAGTAACAACACTCTTCATCATGGAAGTTGTAACTGAGGAAAGAGGATTTCCAGTCCTCGGAATCAAAAAAAACTCAAGAGTCACTGAAATTTATAAAGCCTTTTAAAAGAAAACTGTTTTTTTGTTGTTTTTTTTTTGAAGTGTCTGTGAGAGAGCGAGACTTTAAGATGATAACAGGAAGACAATGAAGAAAACAGCAAGTTCCCAGTGCTTTTAACGAGTCAGGGAACCTGCTGGGTTAGAACAAGTTTAGGAAACGTCAGATCTAATGTAACGGCTTATAATCAACCAAGGAAACACCAAGCAAGTGTTGTTTACAGTAATGCTAACCAAAGGTGGGTAGTATTTAGTTACATTTACTTCAGTAACAATTTAGAAACAAATGTTCTTTTAGGAGTAAATTTGCCAGATTGCTCTTCTTACTACTACTTGAGTAAAATTCTTGTAAAGTATCTCTACCCCTACTTTAGTAAAATCTCTGACTACTTTAATCAGAAGAAGTTTTTTTTTACCCTGTCCGAATATAAATACAGGTCTCATTGTTTGGTTTTCTATGTTTTAAAATTGGTAAAAGTATTCCTTCTGCACAAATGTGTTCATTTACATTCATTTATTTGTATTCTTTAGGCATCCGAGTTTTTAAAATGAGAGAACTTGCACATAAAGTCTGTTTGCCAGCATCATTTATAAACATTAAATCTGATGTTATTATCTAACAATTACTCAGTAGTCTATTAGCTTTTCTACCCAGGCTATTAGCTAGCAATGCGTACAGGCGTACACTGTACGTTCTTTACTAAAAATATAAAAAATTGTACACACTGTTTTGGGGAGGTACGGCTAATTTTCCCACGGAATACGGTGGAATATCTAACGTCCCTTCGGACAATTTTGTTCGTGGGACCGAGCATGCTACGCTGTTCGCAAGAAGTAAGCTCAAAACTTTGAAAAAATTACGAAAACTCATCGAATACCTGATAATTATAGGATTATTTGGGTTTTTTTTTTTTTTTTTAAGGACAATACTTCCTGAAAATGCAGGAAATAGCGTTTCAGGGAGTCTAAATTTCAAACTTTTCTATAGTGGAATATACCCCTTTACTGCTTTGTAGGACAGTCCCATGCACCGCGTAAAGATATGATACACCAAAGTGCACAGCCTATTGCCTTACAGTATGTAATATTCCTAGCTAAAAGTCTGTGTCTACCGAATACTTTTTTACTTGTAAAAAATGTTAAAGTACTTCTACTCTTACTCGAGTACTCTACCCACCTCTGACTAACCATGCCATCTGAAATATGAGATTTATTTGAATTATTGTCAAATATTACAATCCAACTTCAGAAGGAGGTAGGTGGGAGTGCATTTAAACACTGATTTACCATTTTCCCATTATCTTGCTTGGTTTCTTATTTTATTTAACCAAAAATCAGTATAGAGAAAAACTATCTAAAATGTTTATTTCTGGTTTTGTTTATTTTTATAGATTTTATTGGCAGGACAAACGTGTCAAACTGAAAATCATCCCCGGAATTTGGATCAGCGCTTAGAACTGTAACATAATTCGCTGCAGGAAAATTTGTTCTTTTCCTTAAATAAAAATAAAAGCTCTTTTTTTCCCCGATTAAGCGTCTGTTACCGAAGAGCTAACAATGATTTTTCAGAAAGGCTCAAATCCAGCCGCCATAGAAGTGGTGTAGATCTATATGTTTGTCTTACATCAGCTGCAGGCCACAGCTCTTTGATGATCATCTCTATCCGCTTCACCACCTCCTTCCTCATAGATTCCTCTTCAGTTCGGGGACGCATGAAGTTGTAGAAGTCCCTCACCTCTTCATCGAGTCTGTGGAGAACGGTCAAAACCGAGGTTATTCTCACATAACTTGCATTCATAATTCCCCCAGGGCAGAAATATTAAAAAGAGCCAGTTTCCATAGTCCCAGTTTCACAGCATTTAGCCTGACCCGTCCCTGTAACTATCCTGTTAAAATGGGACTGCATATCCCTGGTCAAAATGTGATTACACTTTGCTGCATTACTGTACGTCTACCTCAAACTGCTACAGTTGGAGCAACGCTCTTTTAAATGACATCCAGTTTCTACCGGGGGAAGCATGTCACAGCATACAGGATGAGACTGCAGAAAGGAGCATTTGGTCCCGCAGGTTTCTCACGCTGTTATGGCAGCAGGGACAGCGAAACGCTCCAGCATTCAGGGATAAAACCTGCAAATCTTTTCCCCCGATTATCAAACCCTTCTTAGGGCGGCTTCTCAACAGTTAGAGGGACTTTTTATCACTCATGGTTATAGCTAATGCCATATTTTACCTAAATGGTATCAATATGATAAATTCCATCTGGGGTATTGGAGCTAAAAACTAACAGATAATATTTTAGAATGACAAATAAAGCAAGCTATGATAGATAAATAAAAAAAAGATACTTGTATAAAAACTTCATAATAACACATAGCCATTGTGGTTAGAATTAAATGTTTAGGTAGCAATGCTTGCCATATATAGTATCAACTTCCAAGTGGCTCTAGAATTTAGGCACTTATGAAAACAATTAACTTTTACTTTTGGATTTACCTGTTACTAGTTTTGAATTTCTTTTTTTAAATATGATTCTAATCAAGTTTATTCCCCACCCCTTTCCAAACACAATTAATTATTAAAATTACACCTATGCCCTTTAACGAGGTTTATAAAATCCAAGACATTTTTAGTTTTTAATCACAATACTTTGATCCCTAATGTGTGCAAAACATGTCCTTGTTTACTTGCTACAAATATCAAACCTCATTTGTCATTTCCAAATTTACAGCCAACTCAGAGAAACTTTATTTTCAAATAAGAGTCTAGAAAAAATAAATAAATAAAGTAGGGATGCACGATATTGGGATTTTG